ATCTAATCATCAACGGGAAAGAATGGAAGAAGGAAGTGATCTAAATGAGACGAGTGACAAAACCAATAAGTCGACTAGCAAATCGTCACTCACCAAGTCAAACAAACAAAAGCAGCAAAGGTTTCAAGAAGAAACACTGAGCGAAGGATCTAAGCGTCAACTGGGAAGAACGGAAGAAGAAAGTGATCCAAATGAGACGAGTGACAAGACCAATAAGTCGACTAGCAAATCGTCACCCATCAAGTTGATTCTCAAATCTGCAAAGTCGACTAAACTGACTCAAGAAGAGTCTGACGATAAGGTTATAGAAATTGAACCGCCAAATATTTCTAATAAAGGTAATTGAATTTTGGAAAATTGCTGATTGATATGTACGATAATTAATAATTTTTATAGATCAACAAGAGATGTTATCGGAAATGAAAAAACAATATGGGAATATTTGAATTCCACAAAAATTCGTATTAGTGGTTAAAGACGATCAAGGTAATGAAAAGGTGATCGATAACGATGATACTGATTTAGAAGCAGGTATGATTTTGACTTCATTCGTATAAATTCAGAATTATTCGTAAAAAAATATTACTATTAATAAAATTCTTTATTTAGAAAATCTAAAATTAAAGAAACAAATTAATGAAGTACAAGTAGAGAATGCAAGGCTTTAACGCGAAAATAACTGATTATTCGACGAAAATCATTTTTTGACTTAAGTAAACGAGGCCTTTGCAGACGAGAATGACAATCTATGCAAAAGCTTAAACAGATATTCAAGAATCTGCCTGCCTAAAGCCATTCATAGGCAGATGGATCTTGAACAGCCGGCAAAATGTCAAAAAAGAATTAAGACAAAAAGTCCGAGCGATACGAGAAAGAATCAGAGGAAGAACAGTCTGGTTCTAACAATAATGATGAGTACGACGAAAAAGAAGCTAGAGTATATTAATTTTATTTGTCTAATTCAGTTATTTAAAATTGCAGTATTGAGTAATTAAGTACCGGTTATCACTATTTGATTGTTATATTTAGGCTGAAATGAAGTCTATTTTGAAAACCATCGATGAAACTCGAAGACTAGATTACAATGAAATGTTCAATAGCGCGAAAAATCTCAAGATTCGTCATAAGCTAGTCCCTGAATTGCGTTCAGCCCTTGCTCTGTATTTTCCCGCTTCAAATAAGCAACTTCCAAAATGGTTGGGTTGTCTTCACAAGTCTCTTCGTTTTCATCAAAGATTAATGAATAGGAGAAAAGCCGATGAAAATAAACACCGGGTGCACTCAAACAATCGAGTATACGATGTTAGTAATGATTTATAATTATTATGCTGAATTTTATTCTGATTATGTATTGAATTTTATTCAAATTATAACGTATTTTAGAAGAAAATCCGCTGAATGAAAGCGGCAAAGAGGTCATATAGATTTGACGATGAACGGATAACAAAATATGATAAGCGTAGATTACTAAAGATGTTATCCAATCGCTTATTTCATTCTCCAGAAATAAGCGAGACAGACGAAGAAGACCCAACAAAGTCCATAATCGCTATTTACGACTATTCGTGGAAATCTGATGAGGTTAGAACTTCTGAATCTTGATTTTTCAGACAAATCGCTGGATTTAATTTTATATTTTATTGTTTCTTCAGCTTAAAAATTTACTATGAAATGTACTCGATGTACACTCATCAAATAAGTGAAATTAATACGTGAATGTAGATACGATGATGAGATACAAAAATATGACTGACCACATCTGTCGAATGCTCCCGAATGGTCTTATATCGTACAACAACAAGATTTAATATTCGATACTGATATTGATTAGGGTTTAATCACTGAATATGAACTGAATATGATAAAGAAGTAGAAGAAATTAGTAGAGGGACAACACCAGCAACTGGCAACACCACCGAAAATTATGAAAACCATAACAAGAAAGAAGAAGAAAAACCATCAAAATCAACGGTCGGCGACAATCATAATAATTCAGATTCTGATTTACATATGGACGACGCGCAATGAACGAATCTGAATTAATTTGGTAGAAAACTTTCTTTTTTTCGTCAAAAATCTATATATATATATAATTAATATTCCAAATTATTAGTATTAGAATTTTCAATAATTCAAAATAAATTTGTCTTAATTCAGAAAAAAATTAATTACAATTCGAAATAAATTTACTGCAAATTTACCGCAATTCAGAATAGAAAATTTACTGCAATTCAGATTAAAATTTACTGCAATTCAGAATAAAATTTACCGCAATTCAGAATAAAATTTACCGCAATTCAGAATAAAATTTACCGCAATTCAGAATAAATTTACTGTAATTCAAAATAAATTTACCGCAATTCAGAATAAATTTACTGTAATTCAAAATAAATTTACCGCAATTCAGAATAAATTTACTGCAATTCAGATTAAAATTTACCGCAATTCAGATTAAAATTTATCACAATTTATCAAAATTTACCATAATTCAGAATAAATTCACTGCAATTCGGTAAATTTATGAATATATTTTTTTAAACAATTTGGATTAAAAATACTAAGCAATTCAGATACAATTTGGATATTCTGATCGGCGTCAATCGGTCTGCCAATCGGAACTTTGCCTAAATTAATAAATCGGCCATCTTTATTACCAAATTTGGCTTAAAATCGAACATCCGATTTCTAGCTGATTTGGACTATTTCGACCAGTACATTCTCAGAAAGATGTTCTCAGAGAGAGACCGTTGCATATATTGTAAAAAATATTCGCCATTGATCTGCAGTAAAATTTGAAAACCCATCTCCACAATTGACTTTTCCTGGGATACGACCTAAGTCAGCTGGAACTTTAAATTCATCCATTTTTTTCTGAACTGTTTTCAAAATATGTATTGTTAATACGCCATTTTTGATCTAAAGTCTTCTTACAATTCATTTTGCAATGCCCAGAAACAAGCAGTGCATCGGATCGATTGTAATGAACCGAATTGGATCGAAATATGGTAAAATCAATAATTCAGACCATCTAACTCCAGTTTGCTTTACAAATCGCTTTCTTGCTGCATCTGAATTACAGCATCTCCATCCTATAGCATCTTGACGTTGTTGAGCTGAATCACGGCAAGTAAACTATTCGTCCATTTCATTTATCTCAGCGAAATTATGCTGCCGAGTTTCATAATTCACCTTCTTTTTGCATCTATGATATGACACCAAAGCAGAAATATGTCCGCAAATTTTTCTTGCAGCCGGTATGTCACATGAAACAAGAATCAGAGCTGCGCGAATTCTTTTCCCTTCTTGACATTTATACATTTGATTTAATGTTACTCCTTCCTAAAGTGACTTCAACTCATCAATGATTGGCACCAGATAGTGATTAATCTTATGTAAACTTACTTTATCTGGGCTGGGTAATAAGCCAACTAGTGCTCCGAACAGGTCAGGTCAGATCAGGTCAACTGGTTAACCCGACCTGATTTTTTTTTTCAGGTCGAATCAGGTCAGGTATAATCAGGTAAACGGGTATAACCTGATCTGACCTGTGACCTGAAAATCAAATAGGCAATTTCGATTTGCGACATTGGCATTCCTGCAGATAAATTGTGTAACAATTTCAGTTTTTTTAATTTAAAAAAAAAATTTTTAATTTCTTTTTTTTTTGTTTTAAGCGAAATGTTTAATCCGGATTTTGGAAGTAAGTGGAGGAAAGAGGGGAGAATAATTCATTATTTTTTTTAAGAGAAATGTTACGCTTCTCTTTCTTTATTGTAAGTTGCCAGACGAATATACAACCTGGACTTTAGAATTATGTAAGTGGATGTGGAGGATTTTTTTTTAATTATTTTTTATTTATCAAGGGAAACGTTACTAACGTTTTCTTTTTCTTTTTTATAGGTTGCCAGATGAATATTACGACCTGGACTTTGGAATTATGTAAGTATAGGAAAGAGAAGTGGTTTATTTTTTTTTTAAAGAGAAATGTTGCTAACGTTTCTCCTTTTCTATTTTGTAGGTTGCCAGACGAATATACGACCTGGACTTTAAAATTTTGTAAGTAGATCCGTGGAGGAGAGGGAAATATTTTTTTTTTATTTTTTTTTTTAATCGAAGGAAACGTTATTAACGTTTCTCTTTTCTTTNAAGGTCATATTCTTTTTTTTTTTTTTTTTTTTTAGGTTGCCGGACAAATATTATGACCCAGACTTTGGAATTATGTAAGTATAAGGAAGGAGTGTTTTTATTTTTTTTTTTTAAAGAGAAACGTTGCTAACATTTTTCTTTTTCTTTTTTGTAGGTCGCCGGATGAATATACGACCTGAACTTTAGAATTATGTAAGTGGATCTGTGGAGGAAGGGGGGAATATTTTTTTTTATTTTTTTTTATCAAGGGAAACATTACTAACGTTTCTCTTTTTCTTTTTTATAGGTTCCCGGACGAATATACAACCCGGACTTTGGAATTATGTAAGTATAGGAAGGAGGAGTGTTTATTTATTTATTTATTTATTTATTTTTTAAAGAGAATCGTTGTTAACGTCTTTCTTTTCTTTTTGTAGGTTATCGGACGAATTTATGAACCGGAATATGTAAGAGGAGGAGTAGTGGAGAAAGGTTGAGAATATTTTTTTTTCTCGAGAAACGTTTCTAACGTTTCTTTTTTCTTGTTTGTAGGGTTGCCGGATGAATTTACAAACTGGATCTTGGAATAGGTAAAGGATCGGAAGAGAGCTTTTTTGTATTTACTTTAAAGACTTCTCTAACATATCTTTTTTTTGTAGGACTGCCGGGATATTCAGAAATCACGTTCAGGAATGCATTTATTCTATGAAGGAGAGCCCTTTCTCTATGCGATTGGTAATACATATGGCTTTAATCTATTGAAAGATCTCGATATCGGTGCCATCATCTCTGATAAATCGTATACGGCCATGACGGAGACTTCAACAATAAGAACAACTTCTCAGAATACAATTTGATAGACAACATCGGCTTGGATGCCGTATGTAATATTTGGCAATCCTGAATCCTAATTCGTGGAGTAGTATACTTTAAGCAACGCATATGAATGAAGACAATGTCTTTGTGTAGGATTATTGTAAGTTTCGGAATTTTTGGTTTGAGGTCAATTACAATTTCAAAAAGTTTTCATATATTTTATAGTAGTGATTTATTATTATATTATAATGTTATGCTTTTATTATATTATTTATATTTATACTAGAGAAAAAAATAATTTTTTACATATAATCGATCCAATTTTTGATACACATGCATGCTTGAATAGATTCATTATTTAAACTAGATCGCTTTTTTGTAATTAAATCAGTACTTCTAGAGAAGATCCTTTCCACAGGAACGCTTGTACCTATATAATACAAATTTAAAATTATATAAAAATAATATAATAATTATATACATATACAATAAAAATCTAAATTACCTGGGATTCCGAGATAGTCGCGAGCCATAATTGAAAGACGTGGATATTGTTCTTCATTATGCTATAATTTATGTTATTAAATTTATTATATGTAATTATAGCTCTATATTACAAAATCAAATGCAATTTACCTTCTACCATATTAATGGATTCGTTTTAGGTCCTTCAACCAACTTATTAAGATAGTCTTCTACCTCAAACTCATCACTACTATTATTATTATTAGCTCCAAATAATTCATACAAAAAGTCATTCTCATTATTATTATTTTCGCAATTATCATTAATTATATTAGTTTTACTAGCATAATCACTTTTAAAAGTGTTTATAAAGATTAATTTCGCGGAGTCAATAAATTTTTGTTCCCATTGTTGTTTTTTGTAATAATTTAATTTCAACCTCGGATCAAGAACTGTATATACAGTATAAAATCAGTATAAAGAAAATACGTTATATAATTATATTAAATTTGAACAAATATTAAAATTAAAATAAAAAAATTACTTGTTGCAATTGTATACAGTTGCGAATCGTCAGTCTTAGAATAGTAAAGCTTCAATTTTTCGTATCCCTTTGTTATCGCATCACGTATTTCCGGATAATGACAATATTTCTCATGATTTTCATCCAGTAAATTCTCAATATGTTCAAGAATCATATTATACATGGGAACCGATGATGACAAAGTTATATACTTTGACATTGACATGTATTCAGTAGCCTTATAAAATTTCTGAAAATTGTATTCATAATTATTTATTAGAATGAAATTTTGAATAAAAATTTTAAATTAAACTTACTTCAAAAATACGACATAATTCTTCTATAATATCCCATTCATTAGAAGAAATTAAAAATTTTTTTAAATCATGTTCAAATGCAGCAATATCATTGAGAGGCTAATAATAAAATATTATTAATACAGTAATATTAATAAATATTTTTATTTTATCATAATATTAAAATTTACTTACATCTTTAAGTTTTAATGAGCGTTCTAGCATAAGGTACGTTGAGTTCCATCACGTACGAACGTCTGAGATGAGTTTTAATGACTTTATATTATATAAATCATACTGACGGGCAAATTTTTCACTTTGCTGTGGGGATAGATTTATTTTAAATATTAATTTTCGTAATTTTGGAATTACTTCTACACCACTTTGAGAATTTTCAGTTTCTGTAAGAATATCATTTTCTTCCTGAACTTCACTAGCAGCCTTGATATGTCTTAAAATTTCTTGTGACGTTAGATTTATTATGTGAGCTAAACACCTGACATGATTTCTTTTATGATTGAAATTAATTTCATTTCTACCACAAACATTTTCGAGTTCTTTTAATAGAGTTGTGTTATTTGCTGCATTATCCGCAGTTATTGCTAAAATCTATTTAAAATTTATTAATATAAATATTATGAAATAAAAAAATAAAAATAAAAAATATGGAAGTACAGTATTACCTTGTTAAAAATATTAAATTCATTATCAACACAACTTAAAAATGCTTTTGCCAGATTCTCCCCTGTGTGAGATCCTGATAAATGAACAAAATCAACGAGTATATCATGAAGATTCCAATTAATATCGATATAGTGGCACGTTATACCAAGAAAAGCAACAGTATTCGTTGATGTCCAACAGTCCAAAGTAAAACTTAATTTTCCTGGAACATTCTTTAATAGATATAATAAAAAATTTAATATTATTTATAATTATAAAATAATTTTAAAATTTACTAACTTGTAATTTATTCTTCATATTTGTTCGATAATTATTATATAAATTTAAAATATCATTGCGAACAGTATCTGCTGATGGAATTTCAACTTTTGCGTTACATAATTTTATTAATCGTTGAAATTTATCACCCTCAG